CAGCCAGCCATGGCCAGGGAATTCTGGGAGTCGAAGTCCACCCCTCTTAAAGCACGCTGACTGGGGAATTCAGAGTTGAAATATTGGGACTCAGTTGTCGTCATAACTTGAGGACTATCCGTACACTCATCCTCCTCCCAGCGAGATGCTCTGGGTGGAAAGAACCGCGGAGATTTTTGCAAATCTGCATTTCAAGTTTTGTCCTCCTGTGAGTCAAGCTCAGCTTCTCTCTTCCCTTTTGCCTCAAGAAGAAAACAAGTTTCCACAGACGGAAATTGAAGTACCGATAGTCCTCAACTTACAAGCGTTCCGTTTAGTGACCGTTCAGAGTTACAGAAGCACTTTAAAAAATCGACTTAGGACCGGTTTTTTCACCCTTAAGGACCGTTTCCAGCATCCCCGTGTCACGCGATCCGAATTTGGACACTTGGTAATCGGCTCCTATTGGTGACGTGATCCCCTTTTGCGACCTTCTGACAAGCAAAAAGTCAATGGGGGAAGCCAGATTCGCTTAACGACCGTGTTGCCAACTTCACAAGTGCAGCGATTGACTTGACAACTCTGGCAAGGAAGATTGTTAAAAACTGGGCACAACTGGACGTGACGTCCGTCTCGTTTAGCGGTGGAAGTTTCCAGTCCGTTGTGGTCTTACGTCAAGGACCGCTTGTGCAATCAATGTAACAGAAAACACTCATTACAGGAAGTTTGCAACAGTTTACAAGAGTTTGTTTAGTGACCATTTGCAAGCAGGGACGATCTGCGGATTACAAGGCGAGACGCCATATTATTTCAAAAACCGTTCCCATTAAGTTGCATTTTTCCCCCCTCCTCCCTTCTGCTCTTCCGGGCTCGGCAGGGCTCACCGACGGGCCTCTGCCAAGCAGGCAGCTCCATTCCTGACCCAGCCTGGCGTGCAGCCCCTGGCAGGCAGCCCCTGGCAGGCAGCCCTGCCGAGCCACACGAGGCAAAAAAATCAAAAGCCTTGGGGAGCAAAGTGGCACCGGTCTCATCGTGGTCTCGTCCCTTGCTCGTTTTTCATCCAGCAGACTCCAGTGTGGCTTTTTTGGGGAAAAGCCTGGAAATCTTGCCTCTTTCTCAGAAATGCCAAGGCAGTCAATCCCCACCCCCACCCCGAACGATTCCTGGATACAATCAACTCATGGGATACTCCTTCTCTGGCACGCCGTTGTGCTGCCCGCCGTTCTTTTACCACCTGAAGAGACCACCCACCAAAACGGAATCACACTGTTGGACTCTGAACTTCTAGGCCAGGGGTAGTCAACCTTGGCTCTTTTATGACTCGTGGACTTCAACTCCCAGAATTCCTGAGCCAGCATGGGGGAACTATGGCCCCCTCATGACTCGTGGACTTCAACTCCCAGAATTTCTGAGCCAGCATGGCTCAGCTTGGAACCCTCTCCCTTTCCCCTCAGCATGGCTGGCTCAGGAATTCTGGGAGTTGAAGTCCACGAGTCATGAGGGGGCCATAGTTCCCCCATCCTGGCTCAGGAATTCTGGGAGTCGAAGTCCAAGAGTCATGAAGGGGGCCATAGTTCCCCCCTGGGAGTCGAAGTCCACGAGTCATATAAAAGAGCCAAGGTTGCCTACCCCTGTTCTAGTCCAACCTTCTCCTCAAGCAGGAGAAAATATGGAGGCCAAACACAACATCTTTTGAGGGGGGCAGAGATTTTGGTTTGATCTGGGGAGAGGGGTGCCCCGTGAATCCCTACCTGCAATCTATAAACCTGGGACGACCCGGCTATTGAGCATTAGAGCCTTATAGCAGAATAACAGAGCTGGAAGGGAGCTTGGAGGTCATCTAGTCCAGCCCCCTGCTCCAGCAGGAGACCCTATACCATTTCAAACAAATAGCTGTCGAGTCTCTTCTTGAAAACCTCCAGTGTTGGAGCATTCACAGCTTCTGGAGGCAAGTAGTTCCACTGGTTAATTGTTCTGTCAGGAAATTTCTCCTTAGTTCTAGGTTGCTTCTCTCCTTGATTAATTTCCATCCGCTGCTTCTTGTCCTGCCTTCAGGCGCTTTGGAGAGTAGATTGACTCCCTCTTCTTTGGGGCAGCCCCTGAGATACTGGAAGACTGCTATCATGTCCCCCCTCGTCCTTCTCTTCCTTAAACTAGACATACCCAATTCCAGCAATTGTTCCTTGTATGTTTTAGCCTCCAGTCCCCTGATCATCTTTGTTGCTCTTCTCTGCACTCTTTCTAGAGTCTCAACATCTTTTGTACATCGTGGTGACCAAAACTGGATGCAGGATTCCAAGTGTGGCCTTACCAAGGGGTTGTAAAGTGGTATTAATACTTCACGTGATCTTGATTCTGTCCCTCTGTTAATGCAGCCCAGCACTGTGTTGGCTTTTTTGGCAGCTGCAGCACACGGCTGGCTCACATTTAAGTGATTGTCCACTAGGATTCTGAGATCCCTCTTCCCATTACTACTATTGAGTGACCACTTACAACCAAGGCAATATCCCCAGGGTGACACCATCCAACGACACAAGCTTGGCAACTGGAATGTACAGGTCATCCTTGACCAATAGCAGTTCGCCTAGTTATGACCCAATTGCACGGCCGTGCTAGGCACACAAAAAAGTAGATCCAGGCCAGACCCTCGGCGGGCGAACAAGCAGGGAGACCACCAATGCCCTCACAGCACCGAAAGATCGTGGCAAGACTTGGAACGGACCTTCCGTGCGACTTTTTGGTTGTTGCGTGCCACCAGCCGGTCCAGGAAACGCCGCACTTTCTTGGTCAAGCTCTCCTTCCGTTTGTAAAGCGACCTGCGCCGTTCGTTGGCCTCCTTGCTGTCCTGGCGCAGGCGGATCTGCCGCACCACCCCTTCGAAAAGTTCGGTCACGTTGTGCTGGAGGGCGGCGGATGTCTCGATGAATTTGCAGTTGAAAACCACGGCGCAGGTCCGGCCTTCTGCAAAGGAAAAACACACACACACACACACAAGCTAGTGAGCAAGACGTTGATGTCTCCGGCATATTCCAAAAGGCAACTGGACTTTGTGGGGTTTTTCCCACCCCCCTTGAAAAGGTTTCGCTTCTCATCCAACAAGCAGAACGGAAGAAGCTTCTTGGATGAAAAACGAAACGTTTTCAAACTTTGGGAAAAATCCAGAGAAGAGCAACTAAGATGATCCAAGGCCTGGAGGCTAAAACGTACGAAGAACAGCTGCGGGACTTGGGTTTGGCCAGTCTAAAGAAAAGAAGAAACAGGGGAGACATGATAGCAGGATTCCAATATCTGAGGGGCTGCCCCAAAGAAGAGGGGGTCAGGTTGTTCAACAAAGCACCAGAGGGAAGGACGAGAAACAACGGTTGGAAACTGACCAAAGAGAGAAGCAACCTGGAATTAAGGAGAAACTTCCTGACAGTGAGGACAATTAACCAGTGGAACCGCTTGCCACCAGAAATCGTGGGCGCTCCATCACTGGAGATTTTTAAGAAGAGACTAAAGATTCACCTGTCTGAGATGGTATAGGTTCTCCTGCTTGAGCAGGGGGCTGGACTAGAAGACCTCCAAGGTCCCTTCCAGCTCTACTCTACTCTACTCTACTCTACTCTACTCTACTCTACTCTACTCTACTCTACTCTACTCTCTCCTCTCCTCTCCTCTCCTCTCCTCTATTCTATTCTATTCTATTCTCCTCTCCTCTCCTCTCTTCATTATTCTCTTCTTTCTTTTCATTATTCTCTTCTCTTCATTATTCTCTTCTCTTCTTATTCTACCGTTAAAAATGGTTGAGTCTCATTGTGGTCATAAGATAAACCAGAACCAAATGCAGAGTGGATTAAAACCGGTCATAAAATGGGGACAATAACAGTAATTGCAGGTATCCCTTGACTTAAAGGTCCCTTCCAGCTCTTTTTCTGTTCTATTCTATTCTATTCTCTTCTCTTCTATTCTGTTCCATATTTTCCATTCCATTCCATTCCATTCTTTCCCTATTCTACTCTACTCTACTCTACTCTACTCTACTCTACTCTACTCTACTCTACTCTACTCTACTCTACTCTACTCTACTCTACTCTACTCTATTCTATTCTATTCTATTCTATTCTTTGTGACAACTGTGACCTAGAATGATTGGGAATCTCCTGAGACACTCATGGTTACAATCAGAAAAGATGCTTCATCTGACTACTTTGTCATTTAGCACACCAGGTTAAGCTATAAACGAAGAGACTTTGCGTGTCAGAAGCCAGCTTGGAAGGCCACAAGCGACGATCACATAAGACTGCAATTGCCGCGAATCCAAGCCTGTTGCGAAGCACTCAAATTTTCGATCACCTGTCCCTGGGGATTCTGCAGCCCTGTGGGGACCGCCTGTAAACCCTTTCCTTTTCTCCGTGCTCTTGCAATTTTGAACGGTCGCTAAAAGAATGGGTCGTAAGTCGGGGGACTCTCTGCAGCTCACAGGGTGGTTTGCTGCTATAAGGTCTGTCCGCTGAAAGCAGCAGCCCATAAAATTGGGGGGGGGGGAACGACTTCAGCCCTAGGTTAGAAGATGGTGTAAATAAAGGTAGTTTTTGTGCAATACACTCAACCGGGCCAAAAAAGGAGGGGAAGGAGAGAGAGAGAGGGAGAGAGAGAGAGAGAGAGAGAGAGAGAGAGAGAGAGAGAGAGAGATGGCAAACTCCCACGTTCCAGTAAAAGAAAAAAAACTTTTACGAAGTTTTTTTTTAATTGGCCTAAGGATTCTCTAGCTTAAACTGGCCTTCATGCAGCACGGAAAGTTTGATTAGAGCTCTACTGTATGTAGAGTTGTGCATACATAAATAAAGGTAACCAACGAGAAAGCATTGGGTGCGTAACACCAGACATGTCACTGGAAGGCAAAGTCACAAAACTATTTTGCCAGTGTCATGCGGGGGAAATTCACTGGAGAAAGCAATCAGGAAGGGAAGAGTTAGCGGTAAAACAGGCCTTGCCAGAGAACACGGTGGCTGGAGAGCATCAAAGCTGACACCGGCCAGAGCATAGGAGAACTCAAAGAAGCAGAGCAAGATGGGAAGACATGGAGAGACCTGGCCCATAGAACAGGACAGGACAGAACATTAGTTGGGAGGGACCTTGGAGGTCTTCTAGTCCAGCCCCCTGCTCAGGTAGGAGACCCTATACCATTTCAGACAAATGGCTGCCCAGTCTCTTCTTAAAAACTTCCAGTGTTGGAGCATTCACTGCTTCTGGAGTCAGGTTGTTCCACTGGTTAATTGTTCTGTCAGGAAGTTTCTCCTTAGTTCTAGGTTGCTTCTCTCCTTGTTTAAGTTTCCATCTGTTGCTTCTCATCCTGCCTTCAGGGGCTTTGGAGAATAGCTTGACTCCCTCTTCTTTGGGGCAGCCCCTGAGATATTGGAAAGCTATTATCATATTACCCCTAATCCTTCTCTTCGTTAAACTACTACACATACCCAATTCCAGCAACCGTTCTTGATGTTTTAGCCTCCAGTCCCCTGATCATCTTTGTTGCTCTTCTCTGCACCCTTTCTAGAGTCTCAACATCTTTTTTACATCGTAGTGGCCAAAACTGGATGCAAGATTCCAAGTGTGGCCTTACCAAGGCCTTGTAAAGTGGTTTCTTGATTCTATCCCTCTGTTGATGCAGCCTAGCACTGTGTTGGCTTTTTTGGCAGCTGCAGCACACGGCTGACTGAACTGATGAAGTTTCTTGGATGAGAAGCAAAACGTCTTCAAGGGGAAAAAAACAAAGTCCAGTTGGCTTTTGAAAAGCATCTTTGAGACAGAAGAACTAGGGCTGACACCATAGCAGTCTTCCAATATCTCAGGGGTTGCCCAAAGAAGAGGCAGTCAAGCTATTTTCCAAAGCACCAGAAGGCAGGACAAGAAGCAACGGATGGAAACTAATCAAGGAGAGAAGCAACTTAGAATTCAGGAGATTTTCTGTCCATGAGAAAAATTTATCAGTTTAATCAATGGAACAGAAGTGGTGAATGCTCCATCACTAGAGGTTTTTAAGAAGAGACTGGACAACCATTTGTCCAGAATGGTATGGGGTCTCCTGCTTGAGTGGGTGTGGGGTGGGACTAGACGATCTCCAAGGTCCCTTCCATTCTGTATTCTCTTCATTAGATTACACATTCCCAGTTCTCCCAATCGTTCACCCTCCAGCCATGAATGCTCTCTGAAGGACTTTGGGGCAGCCCAAAAGCCGGGTGTTGTCGTGGGGAGGGGACCACGCTGGGGTCCTCCAACCCTACATTCCTACAACATTCAAGAACCTGTCCCAAAGGTGCTTTTCCAACTGGACTTTCTTGGTTTTTTTTCCTTGAAAATATTTTGCTTTTCATCCAAGTAGCTTCTTCAGAGTTGATTGTTCTCACTGAGGAAATAAATTCCTCTGAAGTTCTAAATTGTTTCTCTCCTTGGTTAGTTTCCCTCCATTGCTTCTTGTCCTGCCTTCTGGTGCTTTGGAGAATAGCTTGACTCCCTTCCTTCCTTCCTTCCTTCCTTCCTTCCTTCCTTCCTTCCTTCCTTCCTTCCTTCCTTCCTTCCTCCATCCTCCCTGTTCTTTCTTTCTTGCTCTTTTTTCTTTCTTGCTTGCTCTTTTTTCTTCTTTTCTTTCTTTCTTTCTTTCTTTTTCTCTCTTTCTTTCTCTTCTCTTTTTTCTTTCTCTTTCTTTCCTTTCTTTCTTTCTCTTTCTTTTTTTATTTATTTCTTTCTTCTTTCCTCCCTCCCTCCCTTCCTTCCCTCCCTCCCTCCTTCTCTTCCTTTCCTTTCCTTTCCTTTCCTTTCCCTTCCCTCCTTCCTCCCTCCATCCTCCGTTCTTTCTTTCTTTCTTTTTTCTTTCTTTCTTTTTCTTTCTTTTTCTCTCTCTCTCTTTCTTTCTCTTTCTTGTCTTTTTTCTTTCTTTCTCTTTCTCTTTTTTCTTTTTTTTCCTTTCTCTTTTTCTTTCTCTTTCTTGTCTTTTTTCTTTCTTTTTCTTTCCTTTTCTTTCTCTTTTTTTTTCTTTCTCTTTCTCTCTTTCCTTCTTTCTTTCTTTCTCTTTCTTTCTCTTTCTTTTATTTATTTTCCTTCCTTCCTTCCTTCCTTCCTTCCTTCCTTTCTTTCTTTCTTTCCTCTTCTCTCTCTCCCACCCTCTCCCCAAAGAACCAAAGCAGCTCCTTCGATAAGAAGCAAAATATTTTCAAGGGGGAAAAAAAAAATCCCACGAAAGTCCAGTTGTCATTTGGAAGAAAAAAAAGCACCTTTGGGGCTAAACCGTGACCTGGCTTGGCCCTCCTGGGACCCACCTTCCACGGAGACCTCTCGGGAGCGCACCAGGTCGGTCTTGTTCCCCACCAAGATGATGGGGATGTTCTCTGCCTGCCGGGTCCTCCGAAGCTGGATGCGCAACTCCGAGGCGCTCTCAAAGCTGGCCCGGTCGGTGATGGAGTAGACCAGGACATAGGCGTTGCCCACCTGCATGCAGTAATTGTGCAGCCAGTTGTCTTCTTCCAAGGACTGCAAAAAAAAAAAGAAGATGGAATAAGAATAGAACAGAACAGAACAGAATAGAATAGAATAGAATAAGAATAGAATAGAATATAAATTAGAATAATAGAATAGAATAGAAATTAGAATAGAATAAAATAGAAATTAGAATAGAATAGAATAGAATAGAATAGAATAGAAATTAAAATAGAATAGAATAGAAATTAGAATAGAATAGAATAGAAATTAATAGAATAGAATAGAATAGAATATAAATTAAAATAGAATAGAAATTAGAATAGAATAGAACAGCTTAGAGTAGAGTAGAATACAATAGAAATAGAATAGAATAGAAATTAGAATGTAATAGAATAGAATAGAAATTAGAATAGAATAGAATAGAAATTAAAATAGAATAGAAATTAGAATAGAATAGAATAGAAATTAAAATAGAATAGAATAGAAATTAAAATAGAATAGAATAGAAATTAGAATAGAATAGAATAGAATAGAAATTAGAATAGAATAGAAATTAGAATAGAATAGAATAGAATAGAATAGAATAGAATAGAATAGAAATTAGAATAGAATAGAATAGAACAGCTAAGAGTAGAGTAGAGTAGAGTAGAGTAGAGTAGAGTAGAGTAGAGTAGAATAGAATAGAATAGAATAGAATAGAATAGAATAGAATAGAATAGAATAGAATTATGGAATGGAATGGAACAGAACAGAAGAGAATAATAGCTGGAAGGGACCTTGGAGGTCTTCTAGTCCAGCCCGCTACTCAAGCAGGAGAACCTATACCATCTAAGACAAGTGACTGTCTAGTCTCTTCTTAAAAATTTCCAGTGATGAGAAGAGAAGAAGGGTCTCCATTGACCTCCATCCCACCCTGATCCAGGCCTAGGCTGGGCTTGGCCTTTGGAGTCAAAAGTGAGAGGAATATACCTTTGCGTCCTTTTTTTTGCGCAGCGCAAAGTGCACGTTGTCAACTCTACAATCACATCACACAAGAAGTCTCAGCACAGGTGATAAGTTTGTGCAAGCATCCAGGTTGAGGACAGGACAAAAAGATACCCATTGCTTGACTTCCCAGGACAGCTGCTGCCACTGCTGGACTGAACCTCAAAGAATTAATGGAATTGATTTATTTGTATTCCGCCTTTTAATATTTTATTACAAATAACTCAAGGTCGTGAACTTATCCAACACAACTTTTTCTCCTCCTATTTCCCCCCACAACAATAACCCTGTGAGGTGGGCAGGGCTGAGAAAGACGGACTGGCCCAGAGTTACTCAGCCAGTTTTCATGCCTAAGGCGGGACTAGAACTCACCCTCTCCTAGTGATTGGCCCAGAGTCACCCAGGCAGCTTTCATGCCTAAGGCGGGACTAGAACTCACCCTCTCCTGCCGATTGGCCCAAAGTCACCCAGCTGGCTTTCACACCTAAGGCGGGACTGGAACTCACTGTCTCCTGGTGATTGGCCCAAAGTCACCCAGCCGGCTTTCATGCCTAAGGCAGGACTAGAACTCACTGTCTCCTGGCGATTGGCCCAAAGTCACCCAGCCAGCTTTCACGCCTAAGGCGGGACTAGAACTCACCATCTCCTGGCGATTGGCCCAAAGTCACCCAGCTGGCTTTCATGCCTAAGGCGGGACTGGAACTCACCATCTCTTGGTGATTGGCCCAAAGTTACTCAGTCAGTTTCATGCCTAAGGCGGGACTAGAATTCACCGTCTCCTGGTGATTGGCCCAAAATCACCCAGCCGGGACTAGAACTCACGGTCTCCAGCTTCCTAGTCTGGTATATAAATTTAAATTTATAAATTTATAATAATAATATATAATATTATTAATATTATATAATATAATAATATATACATTTAAATAATAATAATAATAATAATAATAACAACAACAACAACAACAGACCAAGAGGTTGTGCGAGGTTTGACAGCGTCCACATCAGAGTTTCTCAATCTTGACCACTTTAAGACAGGGGGTCCGGTCTCCCTCTCTCTCTCAGCCCAGCCCAGCCCACCTCACAAGGTCGTTGTGGGGGAAAATAGGAGGAGAAAGGTGTGTTGGATAGGTTCACTGCCTTGGCCGAAATAATAACGGCGGGATACAAAGACACGAATAAATTTTGCACGCCAGTCAAAAAAGAGCATTTTGCAGATGTTCTCTGTCCGAGAAAGATGCAGGCTCCCTCCCCTGTTTGAGAAAGGTACCCCTGGCCTGGATCTCTGGGTCAGGCCATTCCCACCTACCCGCTTCTCAGCCTCCCAGGGGTCGATCGCCACCAGCGTGGTCTCCTCCCCGTCCACGGACAAGGTGCGCTCGTAGGTGTCCTCTGGAAGAAAGCAGAAGCAGAACTGGGTCCGTTGGCCACGAATTGCTTCGGAATTAGCAATAAAGAGGAGAGACCCGGAGACCCGGAACCATCCCAGACTCCAGAAACATGGAGGGAGCCTGTGGGAGCAGCCACGGCAGCCACGGGAGGGCAAGTGGTTTAAATCGGGCAGCAAAGGGGCCGAAAGTCACCAACCATAGAATAGTAGCCCATCCAGTTCAAGCAAAAAAGCAGGACGGACAAATTTTGGGGTCCTGGGTGCCCTCTGAGCTTGGTGGCTTTCTTACAGATGTTTCGTGACCCAGCTAGGGAACATCATCAATACTAGAAGGAAGGAGGGTTTGCAGAGACGGGGAGGGAGAGGAGGAAGGGGAGGAGGAAGAGGAAGAGGAGGAGGAGGAGGACTGTGGGGTCCTGGGTGCTCTCTGAGCTTGGTGGCTTTCTTACAGATGTTTGGTGACCCAACTAGGTAACATTATCAATATTAGAAGGAAGGGGGTTTGCAGGGAGGAGGAGGAGGAGGAGGACTATGGGGTCCTTGATGCTCTCTAAGCTTGGCTGTTTTCTTGCAGACGTTTCAGTACCCAACTAGGTAACATCGTCAGTGCTAGAAGGGAGTATGGCTTGTGGAAAGGAGGAGGAGGAGGAGGAAGAAGAAGAGGAGGAGGAGGAGGAAGAGGAGGAGGAGGAGGAGGAGGAGGACTGGTGGTCCCTGGTGTTCTCTAAGCTTGGCTGTTTCCTTGCAGACATTTCATGACCCAACTAGGGAACATCATCAGCGCAAATCTCCCTTCCTTCTAGCGCCGATGACATTACCCAGCTGGGTCATGAAACGTCTTCAAGAAAACAAGCTCAGAGAGCGCCAACGACCCCACCGTTCAAACCAGAGCTAGGGGGAAAAAAAAAATTCCTGGGGAATCCGGATTCCAAGAGAATTCTGCCAGCTCTTTTACCAACCCTCCCCCCTCCCAGCTCTGAACTTACCACCTCAGCATTCCTTGAGAAATGGCTTTTTTTGAAAATAGCCTGCCTCTTATGGGATCACGAACCACCACTCCCCAAAAGGGAAACCGGGCCCACTGTTTCCTCCCCACCCATCCACCCACCCACCCCAAAAAAGCACAATGGGAGTAGCATAATTCCGGATCCCGCCCCATCGCCCTCCAGAGAAAAGTTACAAGAGCTTGTTGGAGACCCACCTTGCTGTTGCTCCAAAGAGTCCTTCTCTTGGACCCCGGCAAAGAGACTCACCAGGCTGCTCTTGCCCACCCCGGGGTCCCCCAGAAACACCACCCGGTAGAGGGATCCCGACGACTCCTCCGAGCTGGGGGACTCGGACCGCCAGCCCCCGCAGGGCTCCGGCAGGCAGGCTCGCGGCTCGCAGGAAAGGGACTGCCCCAACTGGGGGTGGCAGGGCTCGGCCCCCCTGCTCCGAGGGCTCAGCCTCTCCCGGTGAGAAGCCGGAAGAGGGGTGCTGGCCCGTCGCTGGCACGGACCACCGGGGCTCCCCTGTTGGATGTTCAGGGTCATCTTCTTCTGCCAAAGAGAATCGGTCCCCAGATGAGGGTTGCGGCACTGAAAAGATGAGGGAGGGGTCCACCTCTTCTCCAAAGCCCCTGAAAGGCAGGACAAGAAGCCACGGATGGAAACTCATCAAGAAGAGGAGCAAACCTGGAATTAAGGAGAAACAATTAGCCAGCGGAACTACTTGCCTCCAGAAGTGGTGGGCGCTCCATCACTGGAGGCTTTTAAGAAGAGACTGGACAGCCACTTGTCTGAGATGGTATAGGGTTTCCTGCCTGAGCAGGGGATTGGACTAGATCAGGGCTTTTCAACCTTTTCACCCATTTTACCATCTGAGTTCCACCAGTCGCCTAGCAAGGTGTCAACAACTTGATGACCAAAAAAAAAAAAAAAAGGAAAAAAGGGATGAAGTACAGGTAGTCCTCAACTTACAACAGTTCGCTTAGTGACTGTTTGAAGTTACAATGGCACTGAAAAAAGG